CATTTGGTATTCTCAGCTCATTGTGCATGCCAAGCATATATTCTTTTTGCCATGCCAGACTTGTTCTTGGCCATTTGCGCTTTCAAATGATATTTCAAAGTCATATAGCATGAAATTAGTCCAGATTCCTATATTAATATCTTGTTACATCTCACTTCTCTTTTCTGTATCTACTTTAGCCTCTAGTCTGTAGAGGTGCAGTCTGTTTGTTGTATTGAATATGAATGAGGGAGTCACACAAAGTGGGATATTTGCATGACAAACGATTGAAGACACACAGAGGGTCAGTGAGGTACATGTTCGGTGATTTGACAGGCAATCATAGAGCATTGCTGTCTTTCCTTTCTTTGAACCACTAAGGTGGTATGAGTGAGAGTACTGTTTTCTATAAAAATATGACCCTTTTGGACAGACCATTATTGGTACACACAGACAAAATTCCCACTTGGAGCATGTTGGTGTATGTGGCATACAGTAAGTTACAAATTCTTTGGAGACTTCCAGTTTTGACCATGCAGAAGTGCAAAGAAAGTTCCCCAAATGTGTTTGATAAGTGGTCAGAAGATGTGTATTCATGCTCAAATTTCTATCACAGGAAGTGTTTACATGTGTTAGATTTATTTGTCCTATTAAGTGCAGCACAAGAGGTACCTGAACACAAACATGACTTTTTATGCTACGTTATATCCTAGGCTAATTCTTTTTAATGGTTTTATTTAATAAATGTGATAAAACATTGAGAAATAAAAGAGAAAGAAGATGCAATGAAACTGTTGTGATTGAAGAAAGAAGCTTCATTTCTCCCTCCTCATAAAAATGTCCAATTAAATGGAAAGAATTCTTTGTCTAATGATGTCATGGATTAAGCTCTTATAACACTTTTTGTGTGATGTATGGTCATGTGATGCTCAAGTTGTTGCATTATTTTATGAGAGATATATTCAGTTTGTTAATTTGATTCAACCTTAAAGATATTTTGGCATTTAGTACATTGCCTTTATAACATGCTATGCTTTTGTCAGTGTTGTTATACTGAGATCAATTGTAAAATTGTATTAATTAATACAGCTGCTTATGTGAACGAATAACTAATTTGATTTGCTCTTTAGGAATCATTGCTGTTATTGCAATTATAAACTGTTACCTTGGTAACTAGGGAATATGCCACCTTTATCACTCTGTCTGTTTTACAGCCCTGAAGTGACATGTCATTGTAAATTCTGTTAGACACATTTATGGTCCCATGGAAAGAAATAAAAAAAACTCTTTCTTCTGCTAAAATAAAAGCCTAGGGGGTTGTATGTTTTAATCATTGCATGAGAGGTTTTGAGATGAATGGAGATTTAATAGCGATACCACTAGAGGATTAACATAATGTTCTTTACTGGCAGTTGATTACTTGTAGTATCATTTTCATTGTCAATAGGAGAACTGCAAAAGAAATGCTTAATTTTGAGATTTTACTAAATTATGTTTAGAAATGGATATCTGAAATTGCATTATCAGAAACCCATTCAGGTGGCTGTTACTCTGATCTCTTTATTCATTGGTCCAGTAGATAGACCTTGGAGTTATCAGTTGTGAATCCACAATGTACAATTTTAGTCATCTTGTTATAAAAGGTCTGGAAACCGTCCAAAGAAGAGCAGGCAGATACATTCCCAGGCTTAAAGGAATGCACCATAATGAAATAAAATATATAATCCTTTTACGTTTTGACAGAGAAAACTACAGGGGGACCTCACTTATGTATTCATAATGCTCAAAGGCATTAACAGTGCCATCCAAGTAGGTTTCTTTGGAAGCAACAATGAAATACAAATTAGAGGACAGAATTGGAAATATATTGACATGCTTTTGAAGAATAAAAGCACATTTTTTTCAAAACAGCTGGATGAGAAGCTTAACCTTGATAAAAGTTCACTTACGATTGGTATTAATTATCCATAAGAATAAAATGCACCGTATGTACAGTATCTTCTAACCTCAAGCTGTTTTAAGTACTATAGTACGTATACAACATATGAAGATAATATGGAGAGCTTCAGCTCTTACTGCCTGAAAATGCATGCAATCACAGCTGTGATGATATGCTGAATAAAATCTACAGCACATACTGTGCACACATCTTTAGTCATAAAACCAGCATCTTTAGTAACAGTGAACACTGACACCAAATGAATGCAGTGAGCACTACAAATGGAGTTTGTTTTCTATATTTATTTTTTGATAAATCCCTTCACGGTTTTAACAAAATTATAACAGTTGTAACAAATTATATATTACTTTTATACTTTAGAAAGGTTTACATGTGTAGATGTTTAGAAGCATTTTGCTGATGACAAAACAATAACAATGAAATAAATTATTCTGAGTAGCTACACTCCAATAAAGAGCACTTTGTGTTAATATGTGTGTCATCATTTTTGAAGAAGGATTAACACCTGTACTTGCAGCAACATTATTCTCAATATCTCTGTTGGATAATCACCTATTTTGTACATAATTTGCCCAGAGGAGCTTGGCATGCAGATGCAACCATCAAGAATGTTCAAGGTGTCTGTATGCATTGCACGGTAGGCACTGTGGTGCACAGAGTTGATGTGTGGCACATCATTTTTATTTTTCCTCAATTGACAAATGGAGGACCGCACTACTCTGTAATACTGCCAGGTGGCACAGCAAAGCCTTAAATTTCCCAACCACCATTCCACTTCCCACTGGTATGCTGTCACTTAAAATCATGTGTGCGTGTAAAAAAAAATAGTTTAACGGTGTAAAATGAATAAATACCACTTCAAAATCTAAAACATTTTCACTAAAATACAGATCACATAATTAAAATGTCAGAAGGATATTTGGAATGTGGGTTTTTCTTGATCATGTCATGAATGGGGAGTGTTTTTTTTTTTTTTTTTTACTTCTGAGTAAGTGGTGTGTAATCATATTTAATCGTTTTTACAAAGCGACCCGCAGACGGAAAAAGGTTGAAATACTTGCTAAAAATTACTGGTTTTATAAACTATATAAGTTATACTCTATAATAAAGCCAGCAGCCATATATACCTGTAACTCACAACTGGCTGCTGGAAGAGGTGTTGGTGGGGCTGGCAGGGGGCGCTCACCCTGTGGTCTGTGTGTTTCTTAATGCCCCAGTATAGTGATGGGGACACTACAGTGTAAAAAAGTGCCATCCTTTGGATGAGACATAAAACTGAGGTCCTGAGCACAGAGCCAAAACAACTAAAGTTGTGTTAATGTCTAAATAATTATGGACTGCACTGTAAATATATTTATATTAATAAATTAACATTATTAAAACCGTTCATTCAGAAACATTATTGTATTTTGATAACTGTTTTTCGTGGCTTCCAAAATTTCTCTTTAGTTACATTATTCCATAATAAGTGGATTTAAAGAAGTAGGCGTCTGTACATGAATGTTACAGTACTGTAATTTGAAGTACCATCTACTGTGGTCTAATGTGTAAACTTTCAATCTAATTCATCTAGGCTCCATTCATGGCGTGTAATTCTCTTTTCAGAAAAAAACTGTACAGCTATGTGACATTTTAAAACGGTAACTAGGTTATGTATTTTTATATGTTTATATAACATATAAAATAAATCTTCAGTACATTTGATTATTTGCTTAAGAAAAAAAAACAGATTAAATGAAGCTACCATTTCAGTAATATCTAATGTACCACCACTCAATCTGTTTTGAACAGTGAAGGGCTGAATGTGGCATGTCGGAGAGAACTGGAGTATACCGTATCTTCTGCTCATGGGAATTTTGATGTGCATTCTAGATGGTTGCATCTATAACTTTTGGAAAGTTTGAGTTGTTTTCCTCAATCTCTTCCATTGTCAACCATACTGGTCTTACATTATTGGGTGAATTGTGAGGTTTGGGCAGCAATTTGTTAAAAGGAGTGCCCTACATTATCTAAAAACTTGGTCTACTGTAATCTTCTGTCATGCGATATTTTCTTCCCAGCAACCATACATACTACATTTAAAATTCTACACTAGTGTCACTGCTTATACTTACATGTAGGGCTTGAGTGTGTGAGGCAATTTCTGATAATTTGCCTGACAAACAGTGACATTTTTTAAAACTTTTTTGGCTGAGTAGCTTGTTCCCCACTACCCCAGTCTTTTGAGTAAAGAAGTGCCTCCAGTTTTTAATTTTAAATGTACTTCCACATAGCTTCTACTTACAGTATATCCTCTGATGGTTCATTAATTTAGTGACATTTGATTTATACTGATAATATACAATGCATAATTTGCATTCTATACCCACTTTCTCTTTGTTTCCACAGTTATTTCCAATACTGCTTACACACACTAATGTTTTGTGACATATGACCACCTGTGCAAGTAATGGCCACTTGAAAGGCATTTCTTGAACCAATGCATAGTTTTGATCTTAAGTTTACATAGGCTCCATGAATATGAATATTTTCCTACATGTAGTAATTAAGTCTAATTCCTTATTTAAAATAAGTCTTTTCAAACTCTGTTAATTTTGTATTATGGTTTTGCAAAGAGAATATAAATTTATTTTGATGAAGTGTCAGCATATAGCCTCTACATACCAGTAGTACCCTAAATTTGTTTTTAATTGTGATGTTTTTTTATGAATTATAAAATAATTTATTTCAAGCATGCAATCCTCATGAATCACTGTGGAACCTTAGTCATCCGCTGTTGGCTCTTCTCAGATAAATGTCTTTGGATTTAAATGGCATCAATTGCACCTTACAGTATGTACTGTCTGAGCAGTGTAGTACCTACTCCAGGTTCCAGCTTTAGAACCCCTTGCCTCCCTGAGAAATCTTAACTTGACTTTTAATCACAGGCCAAAGTTTGCCAGATTTTTATATGGTGTGATCCTCTTTGGTTGACAGGTTTCTGTTTCTGTTACATCTGTATGCAATGTTATGGCTTTCTGTGCAATTCTAAATCATTGAATGTATTGTTTTTTTCTTGTAGGTGGGGAACTCAAGGAGATTTCACCACCACACATCCTCTCCCTGTTGTTAAAGTGAAGCTTTTCACTGAAAGCACAGGGGTCTTGGCCTTGGAAGACAAGGAGCTGGGAAAGGTAAAATGCATGATCAGTTGTTATCATAGCTATTCCATTAATGTTCAATACATTTAGTATAGACAAAGAAAGCAACCTTTGTCTGAGTAATTTTAAAGTTTAAGGTATGCATTGTCCTTTAGGATGTATGGAGTTATTAGTTTCCTTAGGAAATGTAGTTTAAGCCAGAGATGCAATTTTGTCTAAACCTACCATCTTTAAAGGTTAAATACTAGGCATTTCAGAATCTTCTTATTAACATACAAGACATTTCTCAGCTTAATCTGTTTGAGCTCCGTAAAGTTGGCCCCCCTACAAACAGCACAAATGATGAAACCCCTCTTCATTTGTTAATGCTGCGTTTATGTCGGTTTGTGCCATTGAAAGTAGCGTTTGTGCTGCTTCCCTTTCCGAGATATAGCGCCTTGTTTTTCAGGTGATCACATGACCAAGCATGGTGACTTTGACCTCCAGTGACCCCGTCTGCCGAGTTCAAGCTCTCTATTACTGGTGCAAGAGTAACAGTTCTGGAATTTAGTTTTTCTGTTTGCCTGGGTGGGGGGTGGCAGTGGTGGATTTTGTGTTTAATATCAGTATCTTCTGCACATTTCCCTAATCAAAAAAGTGACATTAGCAAACAATTGTATGTTTTTACAAAGAGGCTTTAACTAGCACGTCATAATAGTTCATAGCGATGTCCTTTTTCAAAAATCTGAAGAAGTTATCAGTTTCTCTTTGTCTCCTTCTTAAATAAACATGCGCACCAAGGGACATGTAAAGATCCAACCCATCTGTCAAACCACATATATAAAAATGCTTGAAAATGCAACTTTATGAATGACAAGACCGTCACAGAGTGATGTCACATCCAGAAAAAGAAGTCACGATATTGAAATGTAAAACATCCACCCCACCCGACCAGACAGACTCAGAAAACAAATTGCACCCATTCTTTTCATCACATCTAGTAATTAAAGTAATTAAAGTGTGTTGGTACCTGTTAACTTCCTTGTAGATAGTAACGTGATTACCCAACAAATACAAGGCGCTATATCTCGGAAACAAAAGCAGCACAAACACTACTTTAAACAGCACAAACTGGTAAAAACGCAGCACTAACGAATGAAGGGGCTTTCATCATTTGTGCTGTTTGTAGGGGGGCAACTTCACAGAGTTATCAGTTTGGGGTAGATTGTATAGTTTCTAAATATAAAGTTTTATCTGAAAGTGTAATGATTGCAAGCTCTACTGCTTGGTGAAAATATACCCAATAATGCAAACAGATCCTGTTCAAGGGCATTTGGCCATTGAATTCTTAAGTTGGTGAGTGCCATTCTTCCATCATTCAATGACAACACAATTTTAAAGTATTTTGAAATTGTACTTCTGCTTAAATCAAGATGGCTTCTTGTCAACATTTTTTTAAAACATCAAGTTACAGCAGGTTTAGGAAAGTTTGACTTGGTGAGTTTCATCACACTAGTAAAAATAATAATAATTAATATTATTATTAAAATAATAATTTACTCAGAATTCACTCACACTCTTCAGTGGTTAGGGGTGTACTTAGAATGCTTTATAACTGCAGTTTTCTAGTTATACTGAATTATTTCCTAAGAAAACTTCTTTATGCATAGAGCTAAAAAAACATGGATCATTAGTATAAAAAATGTCTTTCTTTTGTACAATTGGTATCACTTTTCATTATTCTGGATCACCTCTAAAGAATGACCAAAAACTACAGATGGCCAGATGGCTCTTTAATGCTTAATTAACATCATTGATGGGAGTGTACATGCATATTTAGTGCTGGAGTGGAGTTATCTGAGCTGAATAAAATCACAGCTAAATTTCTTGGTTTTCAAATTCTAGTTGCAGTACGGGCCTACAGAGGAGCTCAGATGAGTTGGGTTCCGTTGCTCGACCAATCAGATGCAATTAATGGCGTTACCTAAAGTGTGTTGACAAATAGAAGGGATAGAGTCCCCCGGAGATAAACAATATGACTGATTATACAGTATATTCATGAAGTTATAATAGTGAGAGATTAAAAGACGTGGTGATAATGATGGTTGTCCGCTGTGTTCGACGATGACGGTTGTACTTTGTGCAGCTCATCTGTTTAGAAAATGAGCTGCATGAAGATACCTGTGCGGATGAGCTATTTTGAAGTGGGAAAGCTGTTGCACTGGGGCAGTCCTACTTTCTCGACCTCAGAAGCCTGGGTCCAGTGGCATGAGTAGTCGCGCCTTGTCATGCCCTTTACTTTCCAAGGAGCATTGCAACCGTATAGTGTCCCATCACACTATACTGGGGCATTAGGACCCACACAAACCACAGGGTGAGCACCCACTGCTGGCCCCACTAACACCTCTTTCAGCAGTGGCATTAGTTTTCCCCAGGAGGTCTCCCATCCAGGTACTGACCAGGCTCACACCTGCAGGGCTGCTGGCAAAAGACATGTAGTATGTTTCTTGCATTTGTAGATTGCACATCCCTATCTAGAGTACATTTCAACCTCAGAATTGCACTTTCACTTTTTGTAAATGCAAGTTGATAGGACTATTAGGAATTCAAAGACAGAAAAATCTCAGCCTACGTGTGCCTCAGGCCTAGTCAAATTTATTATTCATAATCACAGACTATAGTGACTGCGTGGTATGCTTTTGTTAGCTATTGTTGATATACTTTAAAATCATTTGCTGTGTAGCACGGGTATTATTGTTTTTCTTTTGATTCAGTTGGAGGATCTGATGAGGAGCCATAAACAGCACAGAATGTTATCTCAGTACTCACAGCTTTTTAAATTATCCCACGATATGGAGGTGGTTACAGCCAGGCTTTGCCCTTGAGATGCCATTCAAAACAAGAACAGCAAATACAGAATTTCCACTTAAGAGGTTGTCCTCTACATGCTATCACTGCCTTTTTTTCATTTTATTTTCTTGAGCAAAGTATATTTTCACACAATAAAAGTGCTAGTTTCTGTCTGTTACTCAGTATAAATGGTAAAAAGCATGTATCCTTGACAGGACAAAATCACATACATGTGGTGAAAAACAATAGAAAAGTGAAGTAATCAGCTGCAGAAATAATGAGTTAGGAAGTTGTCCATTAGAATCTGCATTTTGTTAAAAAACATTGTTATAATTAACATATGTGTATAAAAAATGTCCTTCAAAGAGTTAAGTTGTGGGAGATGTCAAAAGCATTTTGTTTAATATTGCTGTGCATGCCATACTTTCTTTTCGGCACTTTTTCTAAATGCCTTCAGTGAACATGTTATGTGTTCTTAGGTACTTATTCTGAGTTCTTGAGCTTGTGCTGAGGGACTTCATTCAGAGTTTCCACATTTTAAATGCTCCTTCCCTTTCTAGAGGTTTAGTTTTGCCAACTTTCAAATTAGTTCAAATCTCTGTAAAATACCTCAGCAAACATATGATAAAAATATGATAAATATGAAAACATGCATTTGACAGAATATATGCATTTATGTTAAGAACCACATCTGCTGTGAATGCAGTGAGTTAATAGGGTTATTAGCCTTGCTCCAGCAGTGACAGGCTTATTGCTATCCTAGAACGACACGATGACAGATTCTATCAGTCAGAACATATCCATGGAATCTGCTGGCTGGGTTCCTTGTTGGCCTAATTTGAGAAATATTTCTCTGTTATTTAACAGGTTGTTCTGTATCCAACAACCAATAGCCCCAAGGCTGCAGAATTGCACAAAATGATAGTGCCAAAAAACAGTCAGGACTCGGAGCTGAAGATAAAGCTGGCAGTGCGGATGGACAAGCCACCAAATATGAAGCATAGTGGGTAAGGCAAATTATCTATGTCATTTATTACATTTATTTCTATTTTAATTTGATCTTGTTTCATGAGCTCTCTGCTCATTAGCATTTGGAAAATACCAGTTGTGTGTTGGGTCTTGTGGCAATTGCGCATCTAAACGTTAGATTTTATATAATTTGAAATATATTATTAAGAATCTTAAAAATCTGAAATGCTGCTCGTTGCTGCATTTAGTCACAATATATAGATTGAATGTCTGGAAAAAAACTCATGACATCATATGCACCTGCCTTAAAAATGTGAGATCACAAGAAAACCAAAACTGGCAGAAAACAAAGTTTAAGCACAGTTTTTGCACATTTGTAATAATCACCCATGTGTTAGCCAACATCATCAAAATTTAGTGATACTGTCATTTTATATTTATAGCTCAAGATAGTTTCCCATCTTTCTGCTGTAGTGGTAAGCTCACGTTCAGTAAGACCAGGTGCTCCTGACTCCACAAGGAGCCCAATCTGCTTCATCAATCATGTAACAGGTCACTCAGCTCTGTGCTGATGAGGCCCAGCTGCGAGTTCTGTCATCTGACAAGACTGGTATCCATGGTGCTGTATTAGTGCATCTGATTGATGGAAATGTCATAGAAAGAATTATGTACACTGCATATTTTGATCTGTTTTGTATGTGTGTGAAAGATTCTTTATGTTGTTACTTGTATGTAAGTTACAAGTTTCCTTTTATTTTCAGTTGCAAACAAAACTTACATTTTCTATTGTTCAAATACATGTAGGTTCTGACAGTATATTCCAGAGGTATCTCACTACAAACAATACATTCTAAATGGAGTTTATACAAATTAGGGTTAATGAAGTGTTTGATGGATTGACTGGGTGACTGACTGACCAACCTAATTGACTAATTGACTAATACTGAAGCTTTAAGAATAAAATAGATCTATAATATTGATATTTTGGGTTTGTCAATTTTTTTTTAAATGAAAAAAGTAAGCATTTTCTTAGCTACATGTAAGTCAAAGCCTTGAACACCTGGAAAGGTCTCTGAGGAAGTGGGAAAATGCTGATAAGTAGAGTTGTTAATGTCAAGGAAAACATTAATTGTGTGACAGTTTCCATTTGACATAATGTATTAGTTCAAGCTAAGCAGTTTTACCTCATTAAGCAGAAGCAGGAAATAATTAAGCAGTAGTCAAAGTTCATTTTTACTTTTTAAATATTGTTTGATTTAAAGCTCTAACATGGTCATCTTCAAAACTACAGGCTTGAGAAATATATAAGACTGAATGGCTTACTTTGGCTAAGGTACATAAAATAATGTAGTGCTCTGCCCTTCCAAATCAATATTTTTGGACCAAATTGCACCTTAAAAAACTTTCTCAATATATACTTTTTGTTAGATGAAGGAACTGTGCTTTCAGGTGTTTGATAAAACTACAGCAGGTCTCGGGTATGTCAGTCTCGTATGATTCTGAAGTAACTTTGATGTACATTTAAGCTGAGGATCAGAACATATATAAGAAGGTATGTTGGCTCCCTCTATCTGCCAGAATCAAGAAATTCAGTTCAAGAATGTTTGCAGCAAACTACTGCTAGCTTGAGCTACTAATTGTGAAGCTATTAAGATAATATATTAATAATATTTGGACCTTCATTTCAGAAACATGAGTTTAAACAAATCCTGTCTTATATTATGTTAAGAAGTTATCAGAACAGGTATTCACTTTCATCAAGTGATTTTATAGTAAGAACTTTAATTGAACACAAAGGAACTGCTTTCACAGAATTCAAAGTTGTATTCTCAGTGTGTCATTTATTCTGTTTTTTTTTGTCTTGAAGCATAGAATTCTTTCTTTTTAAACTCATGATCTCATAACATCATTAGAAATGTTGGACCAACTCAGAACCATTCAATAATTTAAACAGGTAAATGGATGTAATAACATAAAGTACCTTGCAAAAGTATTCTGGCCCTTGCACAGTTTTCACATTTTGTTGCGTTAATGTTTGCAACACTTCAGGTACTGTAGTAATTCATATTGGTTATATTCACAATCTACTCCCCACATTCAAAGCAAAAAAAACAATAATAAAGCAGTATATAGATCATTAATATGAACCAAACTTCTGATGTCATGATTGCTTAAGTAACCAAACCCTTTACTGTGGTAAATTAATCTATGTGCACAAATTAATCCTAAAGAGCCACACAACTAGATGAGTCACCCTTGCCTGTGTGAAATATAGCTGTTGCCATGATTTCAGTAGAAAAACACAAATTCCTCAGTCAAATTGTGAATTTTGAAGAAAGATTCAACCATGAAGACCAAAGAGCTTTAAAAATACACCCCACTCAGGAATACAAATTTATTGAAGGGAAAGATCATGAGAAGGGTATAAAAACATTATACCCATAACATTTGAAGACCATCTATATCTCTTTGAGCAAGGTGAAGCAGATAATTAAGAAGAGGAAGACACTTAGACACTATCTAGAACAGGCTGTCCCTCCAAACTGAGAAACTGAGAAAGGAGGAAACTGGTTACGGTTGACATGCCTACAATAATAATAATAATAATAATTGTATATTGAATTGAGCATGCATATTGAAAGCAGGTTCTGCAGTTAGGCTCAATCTTTACATCAGAAAAAAAAATTAATTTACAATGTTTTTTTTTAATTTGTGAACAGTTTTTCAGTCTTTGTGTTCTAAGCAGAGGTGAAAGAACATGGTAAAATGTTGTTCTGAAGGAATGATTTCAGTTTGTTTGTGACTCAGAGGTCAGCTTCTACAAGTTTTGTTGAGATCTCAAGTTACTGTACCACCATTCTCCACATATTTTCACTGGTACTTATGAAACAACACAATATAATTAGTGTGCAGTAACATTTTCTTCTAACATTTGCATTAACAATAGCTTTGGATTTGACCTTGTTCAGTTTTCATTAAGGGACTCTGGTTACTTGGGAGATAGAAAAATATTCACATTAAATTTATCTTTCTCTGTCAAGATCTCATTTCAGGTACTTTTTCTATGAAATTGTTCTTTCTTAGTTCATTCCTCTCTCGCTTCATTTTCCAGCTGTGGCCTCTGGCCCTGTGCTCTGAATAAAATTAGCATCCTCTTAATTATTCCTTCCATAATGTTCAGACTGCTTTCATAGATTTTAGTCTTTTCTCTTGGTTCATATGGTTTTAAACCCCAGGTACTGCATTCACCATTTGCTTGAATTAGTGGTCTTGTTGCTCTGCGTCAGTTGTTATTTTATTTGTCTGTAGTCGGTATGTTAGAATATCTTTTTTCCTCAAAGCATTTACTTAAGCACCTAAAAAGTAAAACAAAATCAGTAAAAAATGGAATGCTACTACTTAAGAGTGTGTGAATACATTTTGATGTTTAATTTCCCATTCATAGTACTTTTGTTCTTTTGAAATGGCAGCACCCGTTGCTTAGGACAAAGATGCTCAAAAGATTACAACTGATCTTCGAGCAAGACTATATCAAAGGCTTTAAAAAAGTTATTTATTGGCTTATTTCATGTATATAATGTCATTTTCAGCTTTATCACTTTCTTCTTTTTAAACTTGCTAGGAGTAGTAAGGAAATGGAAGTGGTGAATTTTAAAAAAAGTATGTAGTGTTACCAGCAGGTGGCACCACAACCCAGTTAGTTCACTGAGAAATATGGTACTGTTGCTACAGGTAATGATTTACTTATTGACAAAGTCACCACGATTCTGGCTTTTCTATCTGTAAGATAGAAGGAAAATTCTATCATAATTTTAAAAACTATTTTTTATCAAATAGTGTATATGAGTGTTTAGGACGGCATATATACTATATAATAAAACACAATATTAAGGCAATAATAGTTTGTTTTTGTACTTGTTTATGTACAGTATCACAGTGATACAATAAAATTCATCTGGGATCATTAGTTTAATTTTTTTTCTCTAAGATCATATTTTATGATAAACTTTAAAAAATACAGAAACTCTCATCAAGTCGTGCATAAGAATATAATCTAGCAGATTTTGTAGAATTCTGGAAAAAGAATTGGATTGACACAGCAAAATATGCAAAATGATAGAAAATTAAAATATGTTCTAAAATGACTGGAAGGAATGGAACCAAGTTTCATTTAATGGCATTTTATAGAAACAGTAACAGTAATTGATTTGAGATTTTTTGCTCGGTGGCCCGAAGTCCAAATCCAAACTGGGGGTGCTATCTGTGTGGAGTTAATACAGTATGTCTTCACCAGTTTCCTCCTACAGTCCAAAAACATGCGGTACTGTAGGTTGGTTGGCTTCTGTAAAAAAAAATGGCCTTGGCATGGGTGTATGCATGTTTCTGTGTGTGTGTGCCCTGCGGTGTCCTGGCATCCTGTCTAGGGTGTATCCTGCCTTGCGTAATTTTCTTGCTGAATTATGATCTGGCTTCCCTTGCGACTCTGTACTGGGTGAAGTGGTATAGAAAATGAGTGGATGGTGCAAAAAAAACAACATAAAACTGTTTTACAACTTATTTCGCAATTAAATGAAGAGCCTTGAAGTGACATAAACTAATACTGTTCGGAAATTTGTTCCATCAATGGGGGGCTTTGTTCTGTTCAAGTTAAAATTGTGAACCATTACCATGTTACAAAATGTTATTAACTAAAGATTAAATGTAGTGTTGGATGTAAAAATGATCTAGACAAATCCTATTGATTTTACTTACAAATACTGAACTCTGCATCCTTATTAACTTTATTATTTGAATATAAAAGTAATGAACTTATAAATGACAAATATAATGTTCAGTTTGGAATATTTTGGAGAAAAATATTAAGATTCTTAACAGACATAGATCTGATATCAGAAATATAATTTGTTGTAATTATAATCCATGATTAAAATAAGAGGACAATACTTTTAATGAGCTGGTGAGTCAATTATTTATTCAAATTGTGATTCAGATATGGGCCTGAAATACACATTTCATTTTTTTTTCTTCTCTCTCTATC